CTATTCATCTATCTCTCTGTTAACACTAACAATTTTCATTATAGTAGCAATATATTGAAGCTGGATAGAGAGATTCTCTCACTCCATTGCTCTTTTCTAAATTGTTTTACTGTTTTTTTTGTCTTTTATCTTTTCTTAACCATTTTTCCTCTAATCCTTTTAATATTGGTAATTCTTATCCTTTTAGATGTTTCCTGACCTTTCTTCAATTTTGCTTATTAAATTTTCATTTAAATATATTTTCTTTTTGGGCTGGGGCTTTGGCTCAGTGGTTCAGCTGCCAGCCTCTCAAGCACAAAGACCCAATTTCAATCCCCGGTACCTCCCCAAATGCACCTATATTCTTTTTTTCACAGTTTGTAATTTATATTTTACTTATTTACTTTCTATGAGCATGGGGAGAGAGAGAGAGAGAGAGAGAGAGAGAGAGAACAAGCTAGGGCCCGGCAGATCCTAGGCAAAGGCTTTACCACTGAGCTACATCTCCAGCCTCTGGAGTGGGATATTTGGAGTATATTTCTTAGTTTTACAATTTTTCATTCCTGATACTAGCTGTGTGTGCTTATGTGCACGTCTTTGTGTATGCATATCTCTAAATGTTTGTTGAGGGTATTTGATTTCACATTTATTTTCATAAACGGCTAATTTGATCAAAATTTTTATTAGCTGAAGTGTTTGTATATCCATTGTCTTTTTCTTTCTACAGAAATTTCACATGAAGTTTAAAATTTTCCCAACTCCTTAGCATTTCATGGGCTGTTCTAAGAACACCCTTTCCTGTCAGTTTGTGCTTTACAGCTTTTTAAATGGATAATGGTGTGGTGGGAGGGGTAGGTTGAAGCTCAGGATAAATCCATCTTGGGCTTTATTTTTTTCATGTCTACTGAATGCTTATTTCCTTTCTCTTCTCCTTTCCTTTCACTGTTATGTCTCTGAGAAACAAAACCCATTCTCAATTTGTTCTTTTCTCATGGAAAGGACACTTCTGAAAGGCTACCATTTTGTAGCTTGCTTACTTTTGAGACCATTCCCTGTGCCCTGTGCTGTGAATCACCAGATACTGACTTGTGTTTTTATTTTAACACTTCGTGTGCTTTTTATTTCTGAAGGTGATTTGACCTTTTTTCTCCCCCTAAGAGAAGCCCTTTACACTTTCGCTCACCCTGTACCCACAGATTCTGCAACCACAGATTCACAATAGCTACTGGTGAATTTTAAATTTTTTTTACTTATAAGTTATTTGAAGTTAGTCGTATTTTTTGCCCCTACTAACACTGATGATGTGGGTCACATGTAACTAAACTTGTGCTTCTTAAGGACCTTATAGGTTTTACAAAGTGAGCATGTAGAACAATTCAGATTCAGAGTCATTTTTAAATACTCAATTGTAAAGTATCCTTTGTACTCCAAAATGTAATACTTTATTGAACAAAAGACCTAATATAATTCCTAATAAATGAGATATTTGAGGGAAAATCGGTATTATGGTAAAGTGCCGACAATATTATGGTATGGTATTATACCTTACATTATAACTTCCTTATAACCATGACAATAAACATCCTTGGATTTAGGTAATACTTCTCCCCAGTTATTATTATCGTTAAATAAATTAATTATAGGAATTGGTGTAGAAATCATGTTTCAACAGTAGAAAGTACTCCAAATAATTACTGTATCATAAAGAATATTACAGATGAGAAAAAGTTATAGGAGGTCTAATCTAACCCAATGTGTCATTTTACAGATGAGGCTAAGGAAGATGAAGTCATTAACCCGATGTTACCCTGAAAGTTCTAGTAGGGAAATGGAAATAAATTCTGGCTCTGTGTCTCTAATGCTTTTTTCATTAAATGGCCTCATCTCTGGTACAGCCCTTCTTGGTTAATATCATCATGACCTTTTGCCTATTAAAAGAAATTAAATCACTTGCTTGAGTATAGTAAATGCCAAAAGTAGGTGTGAGGAAGACCAGGAGACTGTTCTTTTACAGTATTCATTCATTATGCGGAACTTGCTGCTTACATTGGCTGGCTGGCTTCCTCTTATTCTGCCCTCTCTCTTTTCTCAAATATTTAATGAACACCTGAAATATTTCACGTTGAATAATGGGGTTGTAGTGTCTTCAACAGAGTTTACATCTAGTACAGTTCATTTTGAGGGAGTGAATGTCGATAGAGTTTTGATGGTGTGCATAGGTGCAAGTTCACAGGTTTTTTTAAACCTAAAAATTTATGCTAAATTCTTCCTCAGTAGTTTCAAAGCAATGTGAGGTCCGAGTTTACCGAATCACCCAACTTCTGCCTGCTTGAAAATCTCAAGGCAGTGCACTTACTACTTAGTTTCAGACTATTGACAAGAAGCTTATCCTACAAATTCTTCTTTGGGTGCTCTTGAAATGTGTACCTCACACATGCCAGGGTAGCTTCGTGTTGAATTTTCTTTGTGACTGAAGGACAAAATGTTCTTTGCTGCGCCATTAACACTTTCCCACGTACACTCAGGGAAAGCTTTTTTCACTCTCTCAAAAGGGCTCAGAAGTCTTGACTGGAGTACTTCAGAAATAGACCTAGTTTATACTTTTATGAAAACAAGAAGAGTCTGGACAACCCCTACCTTGGAACAGCATTGATGACCTGAGTTTCTCAGAGGCAAGAAGGTGAATGGTGCTGTGGGAGAACACATGGCCTTGGATCCGCACTCAATAAGGCCAGGGGCTGCTGGCTTTCACTCTGCTGAAAGTTAAGGTGGTGTCTTCTGAAAGGACAGTTTGGTGTTCACTGGGAGAAAAGGCTGAGTTGTGTGCAAGATGTGATGCAGGGAGCTACAACTCAGGATTCTTTGATGTTCCGTCCTATAGCCCTGCAGGGAAAAAGTAGGATTTTTCTACTCATTTTCTTTGTGGAACAGGCTCATAATCCATATATACCTCTAGAAAATAATTAAAG